TATAATAATACATTGTATAATAATAATAGATCAGGTATACAGCACTGCAAAGGACACCTCTTGAGAGAAAAAAAATAAAGAGAAATATACGAACACGTTTACAAAAAACGATTAAAATTATTAACCTTTCCAATGAGATGGCATATCAAGCTTGAGATTTTTTTTAATTGTGCGCAAAATTGGCTTGCGACGTTTCTACGAGACTGTCAGGTTAAATAAAGTATTCTCTCAGCGCGGTCAACAGCGGACGTGCCACAAACGCACGTTGATTCTCACCGTGGCCGCAAAAGTCAGGATATGCTGTCCGGCAAAAAGTCTATAAGGCAAAACACATCCACGATTGTTATCCAAAACGAAATGCTGTCGCTCATTTGAGAATTGTCGGGACACAAAACAGTAGAAGCTATTAATGAAAAGACAAACCCTTCTTGATTGAAAGAAAATGCCACAAGCGTGAAACGAGGAGTCGGATATTGTGTAGGTTTTTTGCGATTGTGCTGTAGATCTCTCCCGACGTGTGTGTGCACGTGCGTTGGGTTGTACCGCGTTGCGTTCCGGGCATGATGTCCCGACGTTTCATTTTTGGAAAGAATCAAACAAGATCCCAGAGCGGGGAGTGAAACGCCCAGCACAGCAAGATTGAACAACACGCGGCACATCTAAAAAAAAAAACAAGCCGGAGAATTCTAACTGTCAATTTTTTTTAAATGTCATTTGGACCGAGTGTTCTTAGCTCCCGTAATTTACATTTTTTCCTTTTGAAGTTCGTTTTAAACTGAGCGGGAAAAGAAGTAATTGCACGGCAGTTTGTGAATTTGTACTTGAAAACAATAATTTAGGAAAATCCATAAAGTGAATTGGTAACTCTCAATGTGATCGATAAAACCGAACGTCAAGCAAATCGCACAATCGTTACCTGCTAACTTCTTAAAACAGTATTTTTAGTGAACTTTAGTGAAATTGTCTTTTTATTTAAAATAAAAACACTTTGCATACCCCTCCGTATATATTGCAACAGTTGTATCTGTAAAAGGACACATATCCAAAAACATGTTCACGGAAAGTGAGAATGTTTTTTTTTAATCCGTTCGGGAGTTTCTTTCTCATTATTTAATCTCTCTTTCAAAGCTCGCCCCCTCCCCTACCCTCAATACTTTACAGAGCTATGTGCAATGTAACAACACTTGTTCTCTATATTCATTAGTCCACTGTGAGCCCGTGTGTCCTTATAAAAAAAAAACATCAGGGGGGAAGGGGAAAAAAACAGCGATAGCGGCGGGTGTTGGGGAAGTATCGTAAAAATACGCAGGGAAAAGCCACTCTTCTACGTTTTCAATCGAAAGCACGGTTCAACGATTCCCGTTTTTACTTCTGCCGGATAAGAAAGTGTGCTCAATTTGCCGGATTATTAGCGAGTCGGTGATAGTTTTACTACAGCGCGTGTGTGCACTTGGCATCCGACGCTTTAAATGCGTGACATTTCAAGAGTGAATGCTTCCGACGATTTTTTTTTGTTAATCGTCGACGCCAGAGGAATAAAAGAAATATAATAAAAGAAATAGAGTAATATTAATGCGAGGGGACTTGCTCCCATGCTTATATCGAAGAAAACACCTCGTCATTCACGAGATCGCAACGAGATTTGGACTCCTTTTGCTGGAGAATAAAAACGCTTCGGTTTGCCGGCGGCGGCGGCGGCGACCTTGAAGGTTCCCCCCCCCTCCACCCGCCACCGGACGCAAAAGAGAGGCTGTCGCTAAATAAATGAATTGGCTTCATCGCCAAAAAAATTATTTGGCACTGTCGAGGCAGTAGTATGGTTATACACAAAAAAAAAAGGACCTAAAATTACGTCGGATGTATCGATGTTGTCGCTCACGACGAGAACCCGCTCCCAATAAATCGCACCCACCTACTCTCCTGCCGCTCGGGAAACTGCTAACGTGAAGTCTGCGCGAGGCCTCGTCTCCCCCAATCTGCTTCTCTCCAACCCCACGGCGACGAATCATCGCAGCTTGTCTACTCGCCGTGGCGAGATCGGTGAAAGGAGACGCGCGTACGCACCGATTTCATCAACGATGCCAAAGCGCGCGCGCACAGGAGGGGAGGGGGCGGGGAGCGGGGTAACGGGTTGGCAGAGCGTAAAAAATCACGGTAAAAGTAACACGAAACCAAACTTCAGCACCCGGGCATTTAGGCGTTTCTATTCCCGGCGAAAGCGACCCTGCGTCTCTCGTCACATTGCTCGCGAATCTTTGTTGGAAACGTTAAAAGCACGCACGCACGCACTGACTTCCGAAACAAACCGAGCACCTCTTTTGCTGGCGGGGGTGGAGGGGGATCGGAGGAAGAGAGACAAGAGAGCCCCGGCACACACACACGCGCAGGGCTCTTACTACCCATCGCACCTTCTCTCTGCCCGTTGAGCTGGGTGGGACCAAACAAGGGGGGAGGGGGGGGGTACGGGGGGGGGGGGTGCCGCACGTGTGACTGCCAACACTGAGAAAGGCTTGTCCAGTTGCACACTGAAATGTACCAGGCGGTGGTGAAAACCAACGCAATGGTTTAACACAATAGCCATGCCAATGTGGCATTTCTTTTCTCTCTCTCTCTCTAGCCAACACACACGGTACGTAAAAAAAAAAACCACAACCCCTTTCCTCACTTCATATATACTTTTTTTATATATGTACAGGAACAGCCATGCAAAACCATCTTATACACCATATTAGTGGGATTATTAAAGTATAAATGCAGTTTTATAATCTACATACCTCATATCTTACAATATACTAATGTATAGCCAATAGTGCTATTGTAAAAATATTATTGTAATCATAATAATTATGCACAAAAAAAGCTTAATGGAAACGCAAAAAATTATTCGTAATGATCGACTTTAGTCGGAGATAAGCGAGGAGGGAGGAGAGTACTTTTGCTAAAATTTCTCGTTAAACGCTCAGAATGTATTGACTTTGAAGGCCACTCAGTCTAAAATATAACTTTGAGAAGTGACAGTCATCGCACGCACCATCACCGTTTTTTTCCTTTCCATATACGCGTGCCACGCTTATTCGTGCACAGTATTTAATCATCGAAAACGGGCACTAATAATTATAATGTGAGCTCTCGATCCGAATCGAAAAACACAAGTGTAACTCGATATATTCTCTCAAATGAAAAAAAAAACAGCAAAAAAAACAGCTCCACGTTAACGAAACTAAGCTCTCCCTCTGCCTCTCGCTGCAACGTCGTCGTGACGTTAAGTTAAAAAAGAAAAAAACCACACGCGAGAACGATGAACCTCTTCGGTAAAACGCAAGGTTCGGTTTAAAAAAGATGGGCGCGCGTTTGGTACCCAGAGGTTTCTGCATCCGTCGTAGTAAAAGTACAAACTGGGGTCACGGCAACATTGTACAAGGGGGGTCGAGTTAAAATCACCGGTCGGCCGCTTCCTCTTAAGTAACCGCGATGGCTGACCGATGTTTGTAAAAACACCAAAACCAATCACGCCTTTGCCTTTCAGCTAGGTTCCAAAATGAAATGTTTTATATATATACTTTCTATATGTTAAACCTGCCGCCGCCCCCCCCCCCCTCCACACACACACACACGACTCAATTTGGGGCTGAGTGTTAGCGGGGGGGGGGTGGAAGATGTGTGTGGGGGTGGATAATTTGAGACGAAAGTCGCCCACCTCCGTCCATGGTAATCGCAGCCGACGGGAAGAGTTGCGGGTCCTGGCGGGGGAGTGCGGTTTCAACCGTCACGTCTCGGCTATATATCGCTCTCACTTCAGAAGCGACCTGGCGATCGCGAGCGATAGCGCAAACGAAGCGGCTTATTCGTCACGTGAAAATTTATAGCAGCCAAATAATCCGAACGAAACGTTGATTGCAAATGTGGAGGGGGTTAAACCGGAGGACCTGGAGAAAAAAAATCCGCACAACCACAGGGTGACAATGCAAACTCCAAGTATACAGCAGGCGTCAGGATCGTGATCGAACCCATGACCTCCCGTATACCGGGCGAAGTAGTTAACATCTCGCCGCCGTGGCGCGCCCATCTCTCTCTTGTCACGTGCATCACGGCGACAGTCAGGCCAGTGGGCAAGGATAAGTAAACCATCGCATGCCCGACAAGACTTAACAAGCGGACTGGGCCACCTTTTTTCACTAAACGTTCACAGCGGCTGCTTGTGCAATGGGAAAGCGAATCCACGGGGCCCGTAATGTGCGCATTGAAGTCGCGTAGACACCATTTTTACGGTTGAGGAGAGGATTAGCGACAAACGTAGCCTTCTCTTGAGACCGACGAATAGAGAAAACAAAAACTCGGCACGTAACTCATCTTCGGCAAGCAGGTCATGTCGTCTATCAGCGAAAAAACCAAAACCGAGAACGTGACAGTAAATATGAATCCATCAGTTAATACAGTTATAGTTATCCTGTCATTGATCACAGTGGCAGTTATCAAGCGAAGAGAGTATGTCTAAAATAAAATTATAACCGGGTAATGTTAACGTTAAACCTTGAATAGAGTGAGAACCGTGCTGCCGGAGTGGGCACTGCTTAGCGCTGCTCACCCGACACTTATGTACAAAACCGGTTTACGGGCACGCCACTGCCGTTGGATGGCAGCGGCGTCCCTTTAGCTGCCGTCAGGATGTGAACTTGTCCCAAAGTGTTCGGTGGTGGAAGGACAGTGGAGGGGGGAGTGGAGTGCGGGGGAAGTCGATTGGCGCGGACGCGCAAACATTTTTTCGCGCCACAAATTTTATCCCGTCGCGCACCGTGCGTTGACAACGATATATATAGTTTTTTTTCTTTCAAAGTCACACCGCGCCATCGGAAACGCGCGACCCCGGGTCAGGCAAGCAGGCACGTGCGTTTACGCTCCACATTGCGCTCAAGTTTTCACGTTCACCGAAGTCTTTTTTATTTTCAACACGATGCCGGTTGTTGGCGACGGGGTGTAGAGTTTTTTTTTTTTGGGGGGGGGGGGGGGGTGGTGGTTGCGGTGAGAGTGTGAGGAAGGAGGAGTCTTGCCTTCGGCGTCCGTAAAAGTCCAAGCGTATGCGCAAAAGCGTCCTCTCGTTTTTTGCAGGTCTTCGGCGACGAGAGGCAAAACGTTCGGGCTCACCCGCCCCCGCCGCCGCCGCCAGCCACCGCCAGCCACTGGCGACCGCGCCCTACGCACGTCGGGCGAGCGGGTTTCGTATCCTTCCAGCGGGGAAGGACAGAACTACGGAAAAATACGTTTGGCCGAGACGTGGGAGGAGGGGAGGAGGTGGGAGTGGTCGTGGGGTAGAGGCTAAGGGGCAGGGGCTGGAGGCAGGGCACCACTGGGAGGGTAAAGGGGCGAGGGTCAAAGGGAAGGGGGGAGGAGGGGGGGTGCTTGAAGCTTACATCACGTGATAAAAGGAGTGCGTCACATGACACATCTCAGACTTGCAGTGAATGTCGCTCACATGACTGACGTTGCTCCTATTCAAGTCACATGATTTTCTAGAAAACAAAGAAAGTGGAAGTTTAAAAAAAAAATTAGTAAAATGGCAAGCAGACAGGTTCGGTAATTCATCACATGATGTCGTATAATTGTCTCATGCCTGTGCTGGAACACATTGCCCCCCTGCCCCCCCGCCCCGATTTATATCAAGTCTCCCACCCCCCCCCCCCCCTTCAAATTTAACGAGAATGATGGTCGTCTACGGCGTGACTTTTATTGCTCACCAACGCAACTTAAAACAAATGTCGCGGTTGCGGGGGAGGGGGGGGGCGGGGGGGTCACGTAACTGCCTTCACCGTCCAATGGGCTTCCGGTAAACGATAAACAACATTACCTTGCGTATGCCGATGCACAAAATGATGGGATACATATATATAAAATAGCAAAAATGGTAAATGCAACGGGCGGTCAAAATATTTATAGATTGTTTTAACAGCAGGCGGATTGTGTTCGCCCGAGCGTACTTGTACAAATAAGCAAGGAGAGGGATTGTCTTCAAAACGTTGGCAAACTATGAACTCGCTACCTTCCTCGCTGGAGGCTGCCGACGAACGATTTTCAACAAAATGTTCCAAATATCCATGGTAGCAATTCAACAAAGTGCTCCTCCTTACTTCTCTTTATTATTTTGACGGAGTGATCATTAAAAAAAACGGATCGAGGAGGGGTGGGGGGGGGGGCCGCACGGCGAGTCAAGGGAATATTTTTTTTGCAAAAAACTTTCGTGGCACGTGCATTCAAAAAGACTTATCGACCGACACGCCACAAAATCGGCACCGAGTGACAAACGTGTGTGTGCGCTGCGGTTAGCGTATCATCACCATTCACCGTTACTTGTAACCATTAGTTCGTTACCGATACAAGGCATGCGGCGGGCCTTTAATGAAACGGCAACGCAAAGAAAAGTCAAGCTGAGAGTGAATCTGCGCGGCGTGCATTTGCGGCGGCGGGGAAGAAGCGGAGGGATCGGGGGGGGTAGGGTTCCGGGAGGGGAGGGGGGGTCAGTGGAGAGGGGAGGGATGCTGTCACGAGTCTCTGGCTCGTGTCTGGGGTGGGTTGGATTGGGGTGGGGGGGGGGACAGCGGGGTGGGTGGGGGGAGGAGGTCAGGGGCGGGGGGCGGCACTGAGCGAGAGAGCGAGAGAGCGAGCGAGCGAGCGGGTGAGGCAGGTGGGTGGTGCGGGAGTCACATGATGGGCAGGCGGATAGGACAGGGCGGGGAGTCCGGGTTGGGGGGCGGAGACTGGTGCCCCGATGCGGCGCTGGGGTCCAGGCCCGAGTGCTTGCTCATGTGCTTCACCAGGTACGTCTCCTGTGGACACCAACACGGAGAGAGAGAGGGGGCGGGGGGGAGCAGGCAGGGAAACAAATTATAGGAGGGAGGTAAGAACAGAAGAGCAGGGAGGTGACATTTTTTTTTTAAATATTAAGATGAGAGGAAGAAGATCGAAGGAACGGAAGGGAGGATGGAGAAAAATAAACAAAAAATAGGGAAAGGTGTGGGAGGGAGAAGATAGGAAAAGGAAGAAAGAGGGCATCAGAGAAGAGTGATGTAAGATGGAGAGATAAGAAACGTGAGGATAGTCAACGAGGTGAGGGATGGAGATAAAAAAAGAGAGGGGGACAGAGAGAACGGAGCACAAACGCCAATGGAAAATGCACTCTCTGGCAAGTCATTAAAAGTTACACCAGCCTCTCATTCGCTCGCTTAAATATAAACGAAGGTGTGACGAACACAGTGACACACATGGGCAACAAACAACAATGCTGGTGCTCGTCAAGAAAGTTACCAATCAACCCTGCTGCGACTCATGTAACACCCCCGACCCTGATGCAACTTAATCCAGCACGCTAACCTTGCTGCAGCCACACATTCCTCGGCGTCACGATGACGAGATGTTAACTACCTCGCCTAGTATGCAGGAGGTCGTGGGTTTCATCCCAACCCTGACGCCTGCTGTTTGCGTGTATCTCTCCCCGTGATCATGTGGATTTTTCTCTGGGTCCCCCGTTTTTCCCTCCACATTCCAGAGCATTTGGCTGCTTTAGATTTCCACGCGATAAGCCACTTCCTTGAGCTATCATTTGTGGTAGCCAGGTCGCTCCTGCAACCAGAGGCTATATAGCTCGGTGGAGCCTTACCTGGTAAAATAAAATATAGTTTAGTTGGTTCCGGAGTCCTCTCGTCGTGGCCGGGAGACCTCGACGTTGGCACCAACCTCTTGAACCACGATGCCGCCGCCGCCGCCATCGCACGCGAGAACAGCACCAAGCGTCGCAACCCTACTGCATCTTATTCACACACACCCTATCGCTGCTGCAACTATATGTGCTATGTTTCTTTTACCAGGTAAGGCGCCACTGAGCTGTAGGGCTCTTTTTCAGAAGTGACCTTCGCCACGAATGACAGCTCAACGAAGTGGCATATCAGGTGGAAATTTACGGCAGCCAAATACTCTGAAAGCACGTTTCGAAATGTGGAGGGAAGAACCGGAAGACGCGGAGACGCGACCACGGGGAGAGAGACACGCAAACTCCAAATATACAGCAGGGCGTCAGGGTCCAGATCGAACCCCACGACCTCACGTATACCAGACGAGGTAGTTAACGTCTCGCCACACTTCCTCTACTTCTGCATCAACATAACAACTCGGCCGCGTGGTGCAGCGGACCTCTCCGTCGCCGCGACGGCGACGAACCGCGCGCGCGTGCACTGACCGAGGTGTAAGCCCTGCCGCAGATGTTGCAGCAGTAGGCCTTGGCGTGCTTGACGGCGTGCGTTGCCAGGTGGATCTGTAGCGAGGACGAGTCGGTGTACGCGCGGTAGCAGTTGGGGCACTTGTACGGCTTGTCCTTGTTGTGCTGCCGCTGGTGGGACTGCACGCGCCACGCGACGGGGGGGCCGGGCCGGAAGAGCGGGGTGGGGGGGGGGCACGAGGGAGGACAGAAGGGTGGTGGAAGGAGGGAACGGAGAGAGGGCGAGACGCTCGAGGGACAGCTCCCACACCTGTGGTGATCCGTCGATAACAGAACCTGACGCAATGCCAAAGATCCCCGTCCCGCTGCGCAGCCTCTGACATGAGCTAGCGTTGTTGGCGAAACGCCTATCAAGGCCGACACGGCACATGAGGTCAGGGTGGGTGGGTGGCCAGCAACACACCGAGCTGTCTTTTATCTCACGAATGCTGTTGTTTACACACGGCACCAGGCACTCAATTCAGGCCGAGTCATGCTCGGGCAGTCCCAGAACCGGTTCAGATATTCGTCACCAATGTTGTCCGGGTAATTTCTCTCTGCTGACCACCCCCCCCCCCCCCCCACCCAGGAACTCCTGCAGGGACATCACGAGTCTCCCGTGTGTGAGAATTCCACAGAGACCGCACCAACTTGCCTGAAGGTTAGAGAGCTGGGTGAAGGCCTTGTCACAGCCGGGGTGAGCGCACTTGTAAGGCCGATCACCTGTGTGGATTCTGCAGCGCACACAAGACACGCGAAACAAATGTACACGGTGGCAAGGCGGTGGTGGCACGTGCGGTGACACAACCAAAGAGGGGCGCCGCTGGAGGTTTGACGACAACGACGGTGATTTGGGGGATAAAAAAACTGGAAGGGAAGTGAGCAAGAGGTTAGAGAGACAATGAGCAGTTGAACAGGACTCTCCATGGGTAACATGCTGAACACTGCAAGAGATGGAATGATTCCGTCATGGGAATCAACCTTCGGTTACGAGGACGACACTGGAGAAGGCAGTAGAGACTTTAAAGATGCGCTCCAAAACCAATTGGTGTCACTTGCATCGGTGCACACCCAGAAGGCACGGGTTGGGTTTTAAATGGAAGTCTGGGAGCCGAGTATCGACCACTAGTCTACAATGTGACGTGTATCTTGGTCTATCAATTGAACACTGGACGCAAGGCGATCCCCCCCAAGCCCCCGTTGGTCATGGGGGGTTGTTTGACCGCACTTCATCAGGCTGGCTAGTGCAGGTCGGTGAAAAGTTATGGGGGCACAGGACCGGTCATATATATCACTCGCTGCCGATGTGTGGCCGGGAACCGAACTCGGCTTAGGCAGGTTCATAGCGTAGTGCGCGAACCACTAACACCGGCTCCAGCCTGAGAGGGTTGCACGACGCAGATGATTGTGCAAGGGAGAAGGGAAGAGAATGGAAGGGACAGGAGGGGCCCATGGACCGATTGACTTGTAAACAAGTTCATCTACTAGGCGGTAACGCAGCTCAGTAGCAGCGCGCGGTTGCCACTTGTTGCAGTGTTTCACAGTTCTAAACCGGTGGCCGCCCTGGTTATCACTGTGGCAGTATCAACCGTAAAGTACACTGCGTCTGCTACACAGTGGACATTCGAGATCCCCTGCGCATGTGGGCCATTGTTTGGTGGTGCCACGGGCCAAATTTGCCAAATAAAAAAAAAAATTCCCCACAAACTACTCAATTGGGATACACACAACAGCAACCATCGTCCGCCTCGCCTTGCTGGCAGACTAACGCACGATGCAGGCCAGGTTCCGAGTCACCTCGTGACGCACAGGTACAGCAGCTGCCACTGGGGGCGCCCTAAACATATAAAACTGAACTTTCTATTTTACCAGGTAAGGCCCACTAAGCTATATAGCTCTTTTTCAGAAGCAACCTGGCCACAAATGATAGCTCAACGAAGTGGCTTATTTATCATCACGTGAAAATTTCTCGCAGCCAAATACTCTGAACGCGTAGACGTTGATTCTGATTGTGGAGGGAAAAACCGGAGGGCCCAGAGAAAAATCCACGCGACCACGGGGAGAGAGACACCGCAAACTCCAAATGTATAGGCGACAGGGTCGGGATCGAACCCACAACTTCCTGTATAGCAGGCGAGGTAGTTAACATGCGGCGCCACGGTGGCGAGAGAGAAAGAGAAGAGATGAAATGTGACGCAAAGCGGTCCCGAGACACAATCTCGCTGCGATGGCGTCGACCCGTCACCGCCGTCTCTCGCTCGCCACCTCGGAGACGCGAAGGAGCGCACGCAAAAAAAAACCACCCCCGCCCACGCACCGCGTGTGCTGCTGCAGGTGCGACAGCTGGCGGAAGGCCTTCTCGCAGTAGGAGCAGTGGTAGGGCCTCACGCCCGAGTGGATGCGTAGGTGCTGCGCCAGGTACGAGGCGTTGGCAAACGACTTGGAGCAGTGCGGGCACTTGTGTGGCTTGCCCTCCGTGTGCGACTTGGCGTGCGTCTGCATCTCCGACTTGGTGAAGAAGGTCAGGGGGCACATCTTGCACCTGCCCACCGGGGACGTCGTTGTCGTCGTCGCGGGGGACCACCCGCCGCGGCGGTTGGCGATTGGTCGGGAGGAGACGTTCGTTGTCGTTATGGGGTTGTGCGAGGGAGCGGAGGTTGCGGATTTGTTTTGTTTAGATGGAATTGGTTGGATCGGTAGGGGTGTCCGTGAGCGTGCATGCGCAGAGATGGGTGGATGGGTTCGGTTGGGGTTGCGGATGGGGTTTAGGGGAGAAGAGAGTGACAAATAGACACAGAAGTAAGAAGGACATTCTATACAATTCATAAACATGATGAGCACCCAAACACTCTTATTATTGTTGTTGTTGTGAGAACGTAACAATTCAATAGGCATGTAAACACTCACACCACCAGCAATTGAATTAATTCTCACCATTGTCTGATTCTTATTGTCACTCATTCATTCCTTTGTTCCATTCGTCTCAAGGTAACATTTCTCTCTATTCAGGGTTACAATTTGATTCAGTAAGATGATTTTTGTCCACATTTTTTCTGGCTTTGCGTCTATTCATTCACACATTGCATTTGCTTTACTTGTGCTGTTTTGTTCGTCCCTGTTTGCCTAAACATAACGTTAGCATATACATATCCATGATCTAAACAAATTATTAATAATCGATTAATCAAGGCATCGTGACATGCCTCCATGTCAGCGATTCTAATCACTCCTTAAAGATTAAATGTGCATAAAAAAAGACCAATTTCATATTTCAATGCGAAATAAATGATTTGAGATCGTTTCACATTCAGGTCAGTTCATTATATTACCCACAATCCACGAGGACAGTACAAAATACATGTCGCTTAGCAACACACTGAGCGAGGGGGTTGAGCAGTGGCACAGCGGTTCAACACGCAATGCTACCAAACCGAAAAGCTGAGTTCGATCACAGGCCATGACTAGCATCAATGGCGAGTGGTCGTTATAAACTGGTCCTGGGCCCCCGCCCGCCCCCACCTCTTTGACCAATCTGCACTGACCAGCATAGTAAAGTTCGGTCGCACAACCCCCATGACTAACAGTGCGCAGGGAAGGGGCCTTTATCTACAAGTAGACTGACACAGAAGGGCTGTTAAACATTATGGCATATTATTTAAAATGTAATAAACGAGGCGGTACACTAAACAGGTCGTGGGATTTGCAACTATAGTGCACCGTCATTAACGCCCCAATGGCTGAAACATAGACAAAGCGTCGACATTTATCTCCTGCATGTCTTCGCCACGTCAAGGTATGAATGAAAGTTGGTGGTACAAAACAGGGCTTTGCTTTTACCAGCGTCCTGAACTTGATCCAAATCAGGTTAAAAGCATAGCAACCAGCAGCCACAGAGCATGGCGAGGGCATCTTTCAAAACTTGCATGTGCACCACCACGCAGAAAGATTTTAAACATCAACCAACAATACGAAGAGCATGTTTTTTGTGTTTTTACCAGTGAGCTAAATACGTCCTTTTACCTAACCAGGGCATGGGGCTGATGATGCTTGCTTATAACTTTTGCAAGTGTAGACGTGGGATTCTGTAGCGACTCAAAACACAACAATTGGTTCCACTCTGCAGCGCGCGTTTGATATTTCTCCAAAAAGTCCAACAACAATACATTTTACGACCAAGGGGGACAACTCGGTGGCCTATCCTCGCAGCGCAGGCAATTATTTTCCCGGGACGCAAATCATCGTCCATCCGGTGAGCACAACCGGGAATCAAACGGTGGTGGGGTCGTGTGCACTGAGCCACGAGTCGTGGCGGCTTTCCGCCACGAGGTCACGTGTCAAGCTTCCGAACGCCTCTCGCGCTGCGCCGACGTGCGGTGCAGACCCATACCCTTGCCCGCAGGGGAACGCCAAACGCACTGTGCCCACATCCCACAAAAAGTTTCGCTACGTTCAAACAAAATGGCGGCAGTGGGGGGCGGTCTACTTTTCTGGCTGCAGTGGGGGGGGGGGGGGGTTACGCGTGTGATGCAGAGAGCGGTGAAGGACTCTGTACAGCTTGCGTAACCGATGTCTTAAATTTGGGTCCCGTAGATTCTTTATTCCATTTATCGTGGGTGTCTAACGGTGTACCCGTCCCCGCTGGCGATCGGTTGAGATGAATTGTCTCGCCCCAATAGTTGGGATTTTATTCATGAATACATTTTTAAGTGTACACCGTGGTGAATGAAGCTGTCAACAGCGGCTGAAGGGGGGTCATGTAAGCCCACAAGATACAGGAATTTAAAATATCAATTCTTACACACATGCGATTTGATGCATGCATCATAATCTGAAGAATTGACATCGATTCATCAACTGATGTTTCATGTCTCATTAACTAGTTCACTATCTTTATTGTACAAGATAAGGCCCACTGAGCTATATAGCTCTTTTTCAGGAGCGGCCCGGTCAAAAATGATAGCTTAACAAAGCGTCCTATCATGTGTAAATGGATAGCAGACAAACTCTAAACACATGTTCATAAATGTGGAGAAAGATTCATGCGAACACGGGGAGAACATGCAAGCTCCAAATGTATAGGCGTCAGGGTCGGGATCAAACCCACGTCCTGCTACATACCAGGCGAGGTAGTTAACATCTCGCCACCGTGATCCAAGCATCAACGCAAAATACATTCATTGGCAATTATCCCAACCTCTACCCCTCCCCCAGCGAATTGATGGATATCATTTGATTCAAGAATCGATAGATTGTTCAATTTTTACTTCCTCGTTTGCATTGTTTTTAATTTGTTCCGTCTCATTTGGAGAGTTTTGTTTGCTCCATTAGCCTAGCATTAGCCTATAAATTTCATGCAATTGTCACGCATCAAAGAAACCGAGAATAATTAAAGCATCGTTACAACCCCTAAAATTTCAGCTGTAATTAATTCAATCACTACTCTCAGCTCCATACACACGCCACCGCTGACTGCAACATTCAACATCTGCACCACTCTCGCTATGTGTCCGAGTAAAACATATACAGGTCCAAGTATATAATTGTGTTGTCAACGATGTCACATTCGAAGGTGATTACAATTCTATCAGGGACTGCCGCAGCGAGCAATGTGTCATCAGGTCGTGTCAGAAAGACCCAGGAAGATGACTTACCAGAACTACTTTTGAAGTCAATCCGACGCTGGACCACATTCATTTGTACTACGTTAAAGAGTATGCACTGCTAGAGGTGGCCGGGTGACACAGAGGTCAGAGCACAGAGCCGGCACTGCTAAGATTCTGGGTTGGAATCCTGGTTAAAGCCACCTGTGATTGAAACTGGGTTCTCAAGTGCAGCGAGTTGATGATCTCGGCCCGACTGGCAATGACTGGTCAAAAAAAAAACGATCATTAAATGTTGTTCTACACTCAATTTCTATCAATTCCAGCTCGAAAGAGATTTAAACATTTCAGTGATGTAAAGGTGTTTAAATCGTGCGCATAAAGGTGCTTATTTTAAGCGACTTCAGAAGCAGTTACATGACGTCAACTTCTGGGGGCAGTTCTCTCGCACAAGGCGATTCAGTGCTCGCTGCAGAGCTCCGAATTAGTCTCATTCGGTGATGCCGAAAGCAAACTCAGCATAAAATCTGGGGTGAGGAAAAAAAATGAACGAGCATTCGCTGCGTGTCAATCAAGTGAAACTTGTAGTCCTTTATGCCGAAATAAATTTATAAAAAAACATTTAGCATTCATAATTAACCTCAACAAACATTTAGTAGGTTGGGTCCTTGTGCAGCCATTGGTCTGCGGGACGGAGCCCAGCAATCCACTGGAATTTTGAAGGCCGGTTTAATCCTCGGTGGACACAACCCCCGGTTCCGAACCCGGCATCTCGGCAGCGTGCGGGCTCAGTGCTTTGACACACCCGTTATGAACCCCCCCACCTCCCCCCCCCCCCCCCCCGAGCCACCGAGCCACATCACCGCCTGTCCAAATCTAGCGAAACTCGAGAGCCACGCTGGGAGGCGGGCGCCAAACAATCCCACAAAAGCAGAACCCCTTTCGGGGGCCGCGCGACGATACCGAACATCGACGACAACACGAGGAGGCGTTCACTCGTGGGGGGGGGCTGTGTGGCATCCTTGCATTTGCGATCGAGTATCTTTTGTGTCACTGATGATGAAAAAAAACGATTTGTCTTACTTGGTGTCTTGACCCCCTCCCTCCGCGATTGACCCGAAGGGGTTTAAACTGTAACGTAACAACAAGTGATGGCACATGAAATAATCCGATTAGATGAACTTATCTTTTGGAGAGGGGGGACAAAAATAGAGTATTAATATTATATAAATATAAAAATATATCGTAGCATGCAAAATAGTAGCAATTGTAATTTATTTATGCAGAAAGGTTTGAGTGTAAGCTCTTTTTTCAGGTGGCTCCTGCAGTCGGATATTTGACGAATTTCGACTTTTTATTTTTTTATGCCACATGGGAGAAAGGTGGCGAGTCCCTGGTCGGAAAAAAAAACTCCCACCAAGCATATGAGGCGATAACAAGCAAGCAACATATGCAGTACACATAGGTAAGGAACCTACTTGCTGTACTGCCATCTAGGTATGGGGGGGTCACCTCTTAATCCCACAGGTGGTTGACTCGAACACACGATTATCAACCCCACCTAATGAAGAGATCGAGCAGTGGGAGTGTCGTCATCACCAAGTTAGGCGTTTTATCTCTCTCCAAATATTTGTCCGAACATTTAAAATTCTCACCAAGCTAGCCCGGTGTCTTGGCAAGATAGTGTATGAAAAGATTCATATATTTTTCTTTTACATTTTTTGAGAGGTCCACAATGAGTTATGTCACTTTTCAAGCATCCCCCCCGCCCCTCCCCTGTCAAATGAGTGTGGGCTCGTCTCTGTTGGTGGCCCTGAGCCAACTACTGAAATTCCACATTCCTCTGGCAATGGCAACTGTCCATGATTACAGCACGGGCAGGAAAACTGACACCAGTTGTAATCATCGTGATAACAGTCATTTATTTACCTAAGAGGGCCGACGTCTTGAGACTGGGATGTTTGGCCACATTTTTTAAACACTTTCTCGCAAGCCAATAAGTTGTACGTTTCGCGACCTAATCATGATTTTATACAACCACGGGTTATCGTGATGAAGCTTGACTTCACGCTGTAAAATTCTACTTTAAATTACATTATTAAAACTAAAGAACAAATAACAGTTCTGAAAACAAGATTTTGTTTAAGTGCAATGGCAGCTGGAGACATACTAGGTACTCTGCAGGCATCGACACTTTCAACAGCAGTCACAGCAGCTCAACTCTACGCATATAATCCCACTTTGCCGCCAATGCTCAACAAACTATAACGATTTGGCAGGAGCGTATATGCAAGTTTTGAAAAACAAGAGACAGACGGGAATTTGAGATCAAGGGCAAGGCAACGAACTTGGCACAAGAGCTCGATTCATGACAGCACAATTTTAGTGGTCCACATGAAACCGTCAAAATGCACTTCGGAAAGCAGCACAACACACAGCGAATAGACTCTCAATTAACCGCATCAATCAAAGGAAGTGGAAAGTTTTGCGGAGAGGCAAGCTTTCGCGGATTTGTCCTACAATTCGAGGGCATGAGCACTCCTCTTCGCGGGGTGGCCTCTGGACACAATTACCGCTCATCAGGCTAGCGTAATGTGCGATGATGACTTAATGTGCACTCGAAAGGAAAAGAGACTGCTATAATTAAAAACCTGGATAGTGGAAAGGAGCGAGTGCACCGAACGGAATTTGGGAACAGCTCCAGCAGTACAAAGGAGGCTCAGTGATTGATCACTGTCGACAGGGGGGTAAGTGTGGGCTGAGGAGGATAAGCTTGGGGAGAGAGGGGAGGGGAATGTGAAGGGGCAGCAGGAGGGTGGTGGTGGTGGGGATGAAGAGGGAGTGTGTGGGGATGAAGAGGGAGTGAGTGGGGATGAAGAGGAGGTGAGTGGGGATGGAAAGGGAGTGAGTAGGGATGATGAGGGAGTGTGTGGGGATGATGAGGGAGTGAGTGGGGATGATGATGGAGTGAGTGGGGATGAAGAGGGAGTGTGTGGGGATGAAGAGGGAGTGGGGATGAAGAGGGAGTGGGGATGAAGAGGGAGTGGGGATGAAGAGGGAGTGGGGATGAAGAGGGAGTGTGTGGGGATGAAGAGGGAGTGGGGATGAAGAGGGAGTGGGGATGAAGAGGGAGTGGGGATGAAGAGGGAGTGAGTGGGAATGGAGAGGGAGTGAGTGGGGATGGAGAGGGAGTGAGTAGGAATGAAGAGGGAGTGTGTGGGGATGATGAGGGAGTGAGTGGGGATGATGAGGGAGTGAGTGGGGATGATGAGGGAGTGAGTGGGGATGAAGAGGAAGTGAGTGGGGATGGAGAGGGAGTGAGTGGGAATGATGAGGGAGTGAGTGGGGATGAAGAGGGAGTGAGAAGGGATGAAGAGGGAGTGAGTGGGAATAAAGAGGGAGTGAGTGGGGATGAAGAGGGAGTGAGTGGGGATGAAGAGGGAGTGAGTGGGGATGAAGAGGGAGTGAGTGGGAATAAAGAGGGAGTGGGGATGGAGAGGGAGTGAGTGGGGATGGAGAGGGAGTGAGTGGGGATGAAGAGGGAGTGTGTGGGGATGATGAGGGAGTGTGTGGGGATGATGAGGGAGTGAGTGGGGATGGAGAGGGAGTGAGTGGGGATGAAGAGGGAGTGTGTAGGGATGAAGAGGGAGTGTGTAGGGATGAAGATAGAGGGGGGGTGGTGGACATGGAGAGGGAATACATTATGATGAGGGTGGGAAAGTTCAGGAATCTAGATGGACTTAAAAGGGTTGGTTCTCAGTACCTTGCCTTGTCAAAAACAAATGCATGGGCATGCCCCACAACTAAAACCACACGCGCGTGCTTAGCCGTGCGTGCAAATTATAACGCACGTGCAGTTAAATTAACCTCAGTGGTTAATTTACAGTCTACTGCAATCTGAAAGGACAGTACAACACCTAAGGGTCATACACAATACTGATTTATTTGAGCGTATAATGATTCACCCCTTACACGCCCCCCCCCGCCCCTCAACAGTGATCCAGTGAGTTGTCGGGATTCAAGACTGATTGCATCCTGTTTTTGTGTGTTACGTGCTGCAACTCGTTTGTTGTCTTTTTGCATATATCGATTTATAGACCCAGGATTCGTAGGCACAATTTGAAAAGTGCATCGTGAGAAAACATCGATGAAAGAGATTAATCGTTGCATGCCAATTAGCAACGTAACTAAAAGCATGTCGACAAAAAAATATGTTAGCGAGTAAGTTGCAATGGTCCCAACATAGAGATGAGATATCCATTTTTCCTCTCATCTTCTTGTCTTTTCCCTTATTTTATCTCGATTGTGTGATCAGCATTATGCTACGGGATGGAGAATCCATTGGAAAAACTTTAAACACAGCAGCGAAATATTTATTGTGAGAGAATGGCCCGCGGAAGCGGATACCGAAGAACTGCTTCAAGAGTTGACTAAACTTGATTAGGGTTGCTGCACTTTTTTAGTTGAACGTTTGAGAAACAAAGGCAGGACTTGGTATGGTACAAGGCAGCCCACGTGACTTTATCGTCCAATCAGAATCGAGCATGACACGGTTACAACTTTCACTGTGGCCCCTACCAACTGGGACATCCACCGCCCAATCGCCGTTTCGGATTTCCCGACAGCGAGTGCCGACATAACATTAATAAGTCGTGTAATGGAGATGATAGGACAGATACGAGTAAGGCGTTATCGAATTCGCAAGCAAAATAAGCTCGGATAATGCCAAGGACTCTCGCTCGGAGAAAAAAGAAGCTACGTGTGCTATTGCCTTGAAAAAAAGGAGCATTTCGGATTGGGGGGGAGAATGGCGGTGACGGTGATCGTACCCATATGCCCGGGAGGCAAACAGGTCAGGGGAACGGAGAGGAGATGGGGAAGACACGGGGAGGCAAATGGTAGATGAGTAGAGGTGAAGACAAGGAGACAAATGGCGGATAATGGGAGACAGCGCAGGTAAAGAGGAGATGTGGGGACACAAAAAGGGCATGAGTAGATACAAAGCAGGGGTGGGATGAGGAATAAAACTAAAATTATTTTCTATTTTACCAGGGTGAGGCCCACTGAGCTATATCGCTCTTTTTCAGAAGCGACCTCGCTACAAATGAGAGCTCAACGAAGTGGCTTATCTTCATCACGTGGAAATTTATAGCAGCCAAATACTCTAAAACGCGTGATGCTGATTCTAAATGTGGAGGGAAAGAACGGAAAAACTGGAGAAAATTCCACGCGACGACAGGGAGAACATGCAAACTCCAAATATACAAGCGTCAGGGTCGGGATCGAACCTACGACCTCCTGCATACCAGGTGAGGGAGTTGACATCTCGCCACCGTGGTGGACAAAGGGAAAAACAAAGACACGGGGCAGAGAAGGCGTAGGGAATGGGAAAAGCGATGAGGGGGAGATGACGGAAAACCATGGAAGGTGTCGAGTGGACGGGACTTAAGCAAGAGGCAGACAGGGGGAGTACACAAGCTGTAGACGGAAAAATCAACCCCATCAAAATTCAATAATAAATCATTAGAATTTTACTTGTGATCATTCCATTAAGATTGCGATAAATGTAGGGAACACGTGTCTGCAATTACTACACAGATGCTGAGCATGGTAAATTTCGTTTTTGAAGTAAAAAATTGTTTTTTAGAATCAATGCCACCAAGTCCTGTGGGCGGTGGCACCGACATACAGTGAGGGAAAAAAATATTTGATCCCCTGCTGATTTTGTACGTTTGCCCACTGACAAAGAAATGATCAGTCTATAATTTTAATGATAGGTTTATTTGAGCAGTGAGAGACAGAATAACAACAACAAAATTCAGAAAAACGCATGTCAAAAATGTTATAAATTGATTTGCATTTTAATGAGGGAAATAAATATTTGACCACCTCTCAATCAGAAAGATTTCTGGCTCCCAGGTGTCTTTTATACAGGTAACGAGCTGAGATTAGGAGCACACTCTTAAAGGGAGTGCTCCTAATCTCAGCTTGTTACCTGTATAAAAGACACCTGTCCACAGAAGCAATCAATCGGATTCCAAACTCTCCACCATGGCCAAGACCAAAGAGCTCTCCAAGGATGTCAGGGACAAGATTGTAGACCTACACAAGGCTGGAATGGGCTACAAGACCATTGCCAAGCAGCTTGGTGAGAAGGTGACAACAGTTGGTGCGATTATTCGCAAATGGAAGAAACACAAAAGAACTGTCAATCTCCCTCAGCCTGGGGCTCCATGCAAGATCTCACCTCGTGGAGTTGCAATGATCATGAGAACGGTGAGGAATCAGCCCAGAACTACACGGGAGGATCTTGTCAATGATCTTAAGGCAGCTGGGACCATAGTCACCAAGAAAACAATTGGTAACACACTATGCCGTGAAGGACTGAAATCCTGCAGTGCCCGCAAGGTCCCCCTGCTCAAGAAAGCACATATACATGCCCCTCTGAAGTTTGCCAATGAACATCTGAATGATTCAGAGGACAACTGGGTGAAAGTGTTGTGGTCAGATGAGACCAAAATGGAGCTCTTTGGCATCAACTCAACTGGCCGTGTTTGGAGGAGGAGGAATGCTGCCTATGACCCCAAGAACACCATCCCCACCGTCAAACATGGAGGTGGAAACATTATGCATTGGGGGTGTTTTTCTGCTAAGGGGACAGGACAACTTCACCGCATCAAAGGGACGATGGACGGGGCCATGTACCGTCAAATCTTGGGTGAGAACCTCCTTCCCTTAGCCAGGGCATTGAAAATGGGTGGTGGATGGGTATTCCAGCATGACAATGGCCCAAAACACACGGCCAAGGCAACAAAGGAGTGGCTCAAGAAGAAGCACATTAAGGTCCTGGAGTGGCCTAACCAGTCTCCAGACCTTAATCCCATAGAAAATCTGTGGAGGGAGCTGAAGGTTCGAGTTGCCAAACGTCAGTCCCGAAACCTTAATGACTTGGAGAAGATCTGCAAAGAGGAGTGGGACAAAATCCCTCCTGAGATATGTGCAAACCTGGTGGCCAACTACAAGAAACGTCTGACCTCTGTGATTGCGAACAAGGGTTTTGCCACAACGTACTAAGTCATGTTTTGCAGAGGGGTCAAATATTTATTTCCCTCATTAAAATGCAAATCAATTTATAACATTTTTGACATGCGTTTTTCTGGATTTTGTTGTTGTTATTCTGTCTCTCACTGTTCAATTAAACCTACCATTAAAATTATAGACTGATCATTTCTTTGTCAGTGGGCAAACGTACAAAATCAGCAGGGGATCAAATACTTGTTTCCCTCACTGTAGAAGGAACGGTCTTACCTCGATGGTACGGTCTTTCCTCGTTGGCTACGTAAGGCACGAAAGTAAGTTCAACATACGTACATTGGCAACCTACTCTTGCTGTATTTGCAAGAGGCAAAAGATGGGAGATGAGGAGAGATGGACGGGGCGCGAGTGCACTCACTTGTACGTCTTGCCGTCCTTGGGCTGGTCGGAGCCCGACGCGAGGATGGGGTAGGGCACGACGAGCACCGGCTGCCCGCCACCGTCCAGGGCCGCCTTTTTCCTGCGGCCACGCTCTCCGCGCTTGCCCACGGTGCCCACGCCGGACATGCCCTCCAGCACCTGGTGCGCCGACGTCAGGCCTGCGAGGCCACAAACGCCCTCAAGTCACTCGTTTACTCACCCACTCGCGCACCCACCCACACGCTCACTCATAAGACTCACGCAACCACCCACCCCCTGACTCGCTCACTCTCACACTGCATGTATGCGCTCACTCACCCACTCATTCGCTCACTCACCCACTTGTTCACTCATCTGCTTGCTCACTCACTCCCCAACTCATCCACTCGCTCACTCACTTACTCCTACATACATGCTCAAGGCATGTGCGAGCCTGTGCTTTCAAAAGTTAAGTAAATATTACCTGTCCTCTCAATTAAACGAACATCCATGAACACTCACCCTTACGTATGTACATATATGCTTATTCATGTGGGATGAGAGCTTGTGGGGAACGGTGGCACAGTGGTTGGCGCACGGAATTATGAACCCAGTGACCCGAAATAAATTTCCAGCCACGGATAATATCAGCGGCGACTAATATCTGAACCGCTAATGGGGCACCCACCACCTTCACCAACAGAGCACTGACCCCAGTGTGGTGAAGTATAGCCATGCAACCACCACGACCGACACAACGTGGGGAGGCCTTCGTCCAACAATGGACTGACAAAAAGCTGTGTGAATTACTAATCTTCCAAGCAGTCACGGGGTTAATGGACACTGCCCTACAGCTGATCTATAAAATATCTACACCTGGCAACGGGAGCAACAGTATTGTAAACATGTCATCTAATGTTTTGTTTATTATCTATCTTTCAGTCAGGTGTGGTGCCGAACCGGGTTTGATAAACTTGCGCAAAGGGAGGTGTAAAGACCAATTCTGGAGAGAGTTATTGGTGGAATTATTGGCCACTCAGTGGCTGAAGTACCAACTGGGCCTGATTGGCAGCACATGCAAAAGGAGCCAGTCTCTTGAGACTGCGAGTGAAGCTTCACACTTTGGTGGAGAGAGCCTGTGTTTGCAAGGGGCTTGGTTGGGGGGGGGGGGGGGGGGGTCTGGCGAGCAGCAGACGTGAACGGGGGCGAGGTGAGAGCGCGGGAGCAGAAGGGTGCGGCCCAGAAACTTCCCAGGGCCTGCCTTAGCGTGCCCTTCGACACAAGAGGTTTGCTCTGGCAGGAAGCGAGACGAGTCTTGCCGCGGAGCAGCACTGGGGCTGCAAGGGCGGTCACGCGCGTGCCCTGTGGAGCGTCAACGCTTCGTGAATGTGTGACGCACTGAGCACTCGTGAGCGCCTCGAGTTGCGCAAGCTCCGACACGTGGTAGGAGGATGAACGCGCCAAGTGGTGCGAGTGAATGCGTGCGAGATCGCGTGGGGTTGGGTGCACCTGGCCTGGCACAGGTGCCGGAGTGACGTCACTTAGTGGCGAATGGCGGGTATTGCTATTGCTATGAGGTTGGGTTAATTTCGCCTTGGTACGGCTTGTGCCGACACTCTCCCCCTACAAGTGAAGCGGGATATTTCTCTGGGTTGAGCGATCCTGTCTCGCTCAAGAGATCTTGACGTGGCATTCACTCCCACACGAAGCCCAAGGTCCATGCCCTGATTGATATTCTACAGTAGAACAGAGCGTAAAGGTTTTGGAGACCCTCAAAAAGGCCCGGGTTCTCAAACCTGAGCCCGCCGTGAGACAACAAAGGTTCGATGTTGCCGTTACGTGCGAGCGCACGTTGTCGCTACCCAGGTGTTGAGCATCGTAAGTTTCATTTTGCACCTTGGTAACAGCGAGTTTTTTTTAGTCAATGCCACCAAGTCATGTGGATGGTGGCACCGACAAAGAAGGAACGGTCTTACCTCCTTGCCCACGTATGGTGCACGAAACAAGGTCAACCTATCTTGACTTGAAGCTTTCGTGACTGCAGGAATCCATACTCTTTGGTTCTTTCGGTAAAGTCACGTAGGTATAAAATAAATCACGACGTTTCGTGCGCAACAGAAGCATCCGTCATCTGATGACGGACGCTTGTGTTGCGCCCGAAAACATCGTGATTTATTTTATACCTACGTGACTTTACTGAAAGAACCAAAGAGTATAAGGTCAGCCTACTTTGCTGCATTAGACCGGGCCCTCACCTGGCATCATGGGCAGGGGGCTGCCCGCTGTGTCCACGCGGCCCTGGTTGCCACCGCCGCCCCCTCCACCGCCGGCCGAAGACACCATTCCCCGAGCCATGCCCACCTGGCCTTCCATGCCTCCTGGTGACGGGCAGCCCATGTCACCTGCAACAGCACGGCGGCAGCACGTGACACGATTAGCAGTGGGCATCGACAACACAACGGGTCATGAGACTTGAACGCTAGGCAGGAGACGAGGCCAACACTTGTCTACATAACAAATCGGCTAATCTGCAAGTGCAGTCATTTAAGCATCTTTTTCAAGGACCTGAGGTCAAATGAAAGCTTACGAGCATATGAATATGTAGTTCATCGTTAGTGGTGCACAAGTTTAAACATTTTGGAGGGGGTGCAATTTGTTTTCCTACCAGGGGATCTAAGCGAGACATTTCTTTTCCTAACCGTTTTTATTTCGGACAAAACACCCAGTGGGGAATTACTTGTGTTATGAATCCAATATTGCGAATCATTTAGCCATTCGTACACACATTTAATGTTGACAATTGTTACAATTATGACTAATGGCCATCAAAAAAATTAAGGGATGGAGGGGGGGGCTCAATAGACCCTTTGTCCCCCTCCCCAGCGCTAACCCTAACCCTATCCCTCACACTAACCATAGCAGCAGCATGACCCGGATCCGTGTCCCCGCAATCCACCAGTCTCCCGCACCATCCCCCCAGCCCCCTCCCCCTCCCTACCCTCCACGGCTGTGGCGTAGGGCTTGGGAAAGCGATCTTAAAAAAAAATCGTTTTAAATTGTTTTAATGCAGATTTGGGTTTGGTTCGGCCATCGCCACGCTAAAAAGTCTATTACACGTTTATAATCTTCAACCGCGGTTCAATTGCGTTTATATTTTTTCAATATGACGAACACCTGCAGTTGAACTGAGCGACGGACGTCATCGACCGCGCGCATCCCAATAATTAATGCGCTCTCCCAATGACATCACAAATTCTTTCGTTTTGGGGGCGGCCCCGGGGCGAAAGCATGTGGGGCTCCCTCACAAAGAGGGATCTCGCAGACCTCGCTACCCCAGCAGGCCCCCCTTGGTGTTGGCTAGGTCCAGCAGGGCTACCATAGGAAACAGGGGCAGAGCTGGCAAGCCAAAGTCAGATCCAAGCTGGCAGGCTTGCCAGTGGTCATGAAAACGTAGCTAAAGTGTCTCCCAGCTCATGTGAGCATGGCATTTTTTTCCCCTCATCATTGCTCGTTTACCCATTAAAGCCTCGCTCGGTCTCGTGAAATTTTCAGGAGGGTCCTGCCAGGTTTTCGTAGTAGGGGGCGATGATTGTCATGTATAATTCCATTTAAGTAATTTACTTAACCATAGCAAATTAAGCGGTAGGATTCCAATTTTTCTTTAATATTTTTTAACAGCAAAGCAAATTGCAAAGATAATCATAGCACGCGATAAACGGGTTTGAATATTGGAAGCAGCCTGCAGCTTAAATCTAATGGGTCAGGAAGTATGACATGGGGCAGTGGTGCTGGGTCTCGATTGGTGGCCCAACTGTTGGTGAAAATACCACATTGCTATGGTGGGGCCCAGTTTTCCCATGAGGTGTTCACTGTTTGATTTCCCACAAAGTGTCACTCGTTTGATCAACCCCTGTAAAGAGAAGTTTGCCTGAATTTACGTACTTCACCTCGGTTGGGAATTCGATTTGTCGCTTTCCAATTGCAAGTTCAGTTTATTTAACCACAATGCAACCCGGCCAGAGCATACCCTTATATATACACTACAAATAAATAGACGTGTGAATTAAGCATTCCCCCCCCAAAAAAAATGAATGACGATCAATCAAATCTGGAGCTGGGAGAAAGTCGATTGAACAACTAAATATAATAACCGACGACTACGACTTCTGTGGTCAACTACGCAGGCTCCTTTAAGAGCGGCGGCTGCCCTGACAAACCACAGCCAGGTTGACGGTGCCGTAAACCTAGCCGTGCCCACCACCTCCCACCCAGCGGCACACACGGGGAGAACAAAGGTCGAAACTTTTTTTTCCTACCCCCCCCTCCCCCCAACTGCGTTCGCCGAGTGGTCAAACCAATAATTCGGTAAACGATTACTCGATCGAGAAAAAAAAAAAACTCGCCCAGCTCCTGCCAAAAACCACAACAACTGGTGGATACACGCAGGAGATCATCTAAATCTACAAGCGATCCACCAATCTCTGCCTCCTAGCCCCTTGCCCAGACCACCTGAACCACTTTCACAACACTCCCCCTCTCTCCCCTCACCCATAGTGCTTGGTGGACGGGCGTGCAGTGCCACATTGGGCTTCCCAGAGCCATGCTGGGCCTCATGCTGCTGCTGTTGCTGCTGCTGCTGTTGCTGCTGCTGCTGCTGTTGTTGCTGCTGCTGCTGTTGGGACAGCTGCTGCTGACTTAGGTTGGGGGTGGAGGGTGAGTGTTGGGAGAGTGGCGGTGGCAACGGCTGCCCGAGTGGCTGGTGCGACTGGTGCCTGATCTTCTCCGCCATCAGCTGCTCCTTGATTTTGTTGATCAGGACGAGGTTGTCGATCTGACGAGCGCAAGAGAAAGGTTCACGTCAACGGAAAAACACAAACAGGCGCGCGCACGCACGCACGTGTGTCAAACGATAACAAGGAGAACGTGCGCCTCTCACAACTGTAGACGACGCTTAAGATAGGGGGGTCGGTGGATCACAGAACAATAATTATCGATGTGGATTTGTGAAACTCCAAAATCTGCTGGGCTGCAAGGTGGGCCAGTGATCGCAGCACAGCAGGTGGGTTTGTGAACCCATCTGTGTAGAACTTTGAACGTTAACTTCTCAAGTCGCGCGATGTTTTGTCCGGGTACTTCGGTGTGCCCCTCGCATGCGCGGTGGGAGTACTGTACTGCGGCTTCTTCCCAAGTGCAAAACATTGCTTTTGAAAATAAATTGGCCAAACAGCTCAATGCAGAACCCTCCTGTCAAAAAAAAACGACCCATTGTGACTTAGAAAAGCTTCACCGGATGCCCATTACGTCAGCTCCAAGAGGCTGCACGACTTGCTCTCGGCTTCATGCCCCTGTTGCTGCAATCCGCCATGTTCAATGTGCGTGTCTCACTGCTGCCATCTACCGACAATTAGAGAAACACGCAGGAGAGTGGGCAGAGTTCAAAATTGCCTCCAGCTCGGTTTTGTGACCGCACCCGTGCAACGTTCAATATCAAACACCATAGGCGGCAGTTGCGTCTTGTGTTGGGGAACCTGCACTTATCGCGTCCAGGAACGTAACAATTCGCTAGCCCTGGGGTTCTATGAATTGGCATCGTTCGGGATCACGACTTGAGAATCGATTGCTCGCTCCTCGTTCGTTCTGAGCCGAACGGTGAAATTTGCGAAAGTCATAGGGGGCCCATCCCTTACAAAGCATGATTCATATGCATGCATCGTGAACGTAAGGAAATTATTTTAAAATCGCTGAGCTATTAAAATGCTTCAAAGGCGTCCGTTACTCCATCGTGGAAACTATGCAATTTGATTTAATAGGCCACCGGTTCAACCGAACAATTGTGCAACTACAAATAATTTGTCTGGAGCAACTAACTACACAGTCATGTTGACAACGGCATAGTGACCTAGTTGGAAGGGGAGGCGGCTCAGAGGGTGAGTACAACATGAATGAGTTAAATGATGACGTCACCCTGCTGCTCTATTTAAGACCGGGAGCAAGTGAGGGTTTTACTATTCTGGCGAATTGCCCGATGATGCTGGATGTAATTACCAGTGAAACGTCGTACTCAAACTGTAAATTTTGTGGATTCACTCTTCAACACACCGGTGGGCTAAAGTAGTGAACTATTTGTCTTTTGTCAACGTGACACTTTTTTGCTGATTGGCCGTGTCGGGTGGTGGAGGGTTACGACGCATTTATAAATAACGCGATCTAACCCAAAAACCTTTATTATGAGTACAACATCTCAGCACCGAGCAGGGGCGCTGCTGATATCCCGAGTTAAACTTTGGGGATTCAGCTGCCTGTAATTAAACCGTGTTCTCGGGTGCAGTGAGGTGATGGTCGCAGCCTGGTTACCAATGACTGAACAAAACAACCATCAAATCAAATTAAAGGGGTTTTTTTACCGTATTTGCCCGATTCCGGCATAGAATACGGAAAAACAATCAGTTTGTCTGTCACGTCATAAAACACGCTTTTGCAGGGCATTTGAAAGGAGTTTATAGATCGGCGCCTCTCGCACTGCGAGAGTTTCAAATGACCGTCATCTTTGTCTCACCACATGATGCGGATAGCACAAAACAAAATGTAATTTGAGGGACAGAAAACAAGGGGGATCGAGTGATGGACAGAACATATATGAGTTACCGAAGTGGCTTATCACGTGGAAATCTATAGCAGCCAAATACTCTGAACGCATATTGATTCTAAATGTTGAGGGAAAAACTGGAGAAAAATCCACGCGACCACGGGGAGAGAGACACGCAAACTCCAAATATACAGCAGGTGTCAGGGTCGGGATCAAACCCATGACCTCCTGCATACCAGGCAATGTAATTAACATCTAGCCACCGTGAACTGTGCACTGGACTTGATGGCAATTGAATGCTGATAAGCGTGAGAAAACTTTACGTGGCCGGGTGAGTCAGAGGTCAGAGCACTGCTGACACTGCTGAGATAATAGGTTCAAATCTAAACGCCACCCTGCGATTGCACTGGAATCGAGTGTAGCGAGTTGGCAGTCTAATCTTAGCCACGAATGACTGCACAAAAAAATAAACCATCATCATGATTGGGGATGGGCAGGTGGAGTCTCCATTTCTTTCAAGAACCAATTGTTTTTAATTTGTTACTACAGTGCAATGTGTACCCCTCATTTGGGCGGTATGTACTATTGTGCGTGTCTTGTTCGTTCGGTCCCATTTGTACCATTAGCCCGAAGGAAACAATGGCAAAAAGATTCGTGAACGGGACAATTATTATTATCGCTTTACACACACACAATTCGCTACACACAGGGTTGAGCCTGGGACAGTGTGCAGATGGGCCATCTTTGTGCAGAGAATATGCATTCCTCATCCATTATAAATAAATATTCTCATTCTGATTGTAGGCTGCAGTGGGGCTACATGGTCAGCAGTCGGCGGTATAGCTAAATACAGTGCATTGCAGTACTGTACTATGCTCCAATGTCTACGAAGCCCCCCCCTGCCTTTCGCCAACCCTAACTGACCAGCGTAGTGAAGCACAGTAAAATAACCCCCACAATCCACAAATGTGTGGGGGAATCCCCTTACCCAGCAGTGAATTAACACGTACACGTGCACGATTAAAACACGTGCCGCAAGCGTGTCAACTCATGATCAACTAGTTTTTACGTGCCAAGATTTTTCTCGAGAGCCTGAATTTAATTGATGCCGTGAAGCAATGCCCAATTCATCCAATTCCAGTGTGGAAAATCACCCAAGGCGGTTCCAGATCACTTCGACACCCCTCGATTCCTTGTGTTGTTGTTGTCGTCGTCGTCGCCCTTAGCCAGCAGAAGAATAACTCAATATCTGTTTGCATGCACCATGAAACGCACGCATCCGTATGCATATGAACTACTTATAATGAGTTGGGTTTTTTGGGGAATTTTCATTAATCCAATTACATGACTGTGGGCATCGAGTAATGAGAAGGAACGCCCACCGAGAAACGCTCATCTCAGGCAGATTTCCCCCGAAGAACGACTCGTGAAGCCAGCAGGCAGATGTTGTAACCCCCAGGCTGCGATCCTGTACACACCCGAAAGGTGTTTGTCTGGCAAGCGAACTTGAGCGGCGGGACCACCGATAGGACACCTTGGGAATCGAATGAGCGAAACGTATCGCGAAGGGTTTCACTGTGCAGTCATTCATTGCCGACCAGGGCTGAGAAAACATCGACTCGCTGCACTTGCGGATTTGCACATCAAGAGGAGGCGGGGGGGCAGGGGGGGGGGGCACGGGGGGGGGCCGCGCCTGAAGAACGACGGCGGGAAGTTGCGCGAAGACGAAAAGTATCCCCGCGTGTCGTCAAACAAACAAAAAATTAATTCCGTACAGTTGTGTACCGTGCAGACAACACAAAACAAGCGCACGCAAGTAAATAAAAAACACTTTTTTTTTGTTTCCGATGCCCTACCTGATTGGTCATGGTCGGTGGATGAGGCCAGAAATAAGGGCTATTAAACCGCGGTTCTGCCATTCTGATGGTAAACACACAAGACATGCAGGTTAGCCACGCAAAACATCGCTCACATTTTAATGCAGCACAAGGCATTGAAACGAACACAAATGAGCGAAAGCAATATCGAACGGCAGCAGGGTTCGTTCACTTTCAAAGAAGTGGGTAGCGCAAAAAACGAAACGAGCTTGATACGGGTTCCCCCCCCACCCCCCGAGCTTCTGGTACGAAGGTTCGCGGTGAAAATGTAATCATCATTCAGTAAACCCGCAGCATGCAACAAGGCGGCAACGCAGAGCAAAAAGATAATGCATCCTGAAAGGCTTTCTATATTGCTCATTATCTGCTTATCCGCTAACATCACATTGGTCATTTGCAAGACAATACACTTGGCAGACTAACAGCGCGAATAACTTAAACCTTACATTGGTATTTCTGCAAGTCAATTGTACACGGCAGACAAACAGCATTAATACATTAATGGATTAACAGAATTTGCTTTCTCAAACACGTGAAACAATGCTTGATCCATCCACCGCTGGGCCTTCAGAGTCAGTTTTATCACAGCGGTTTGCTTAAACAGAAAATCTGCATTGGTTTTCACATCACCTAGTCTCACAAGCAACACAATGGCCTGAAATAGTGGGCGACAGCCATCTACTGCTCTGCAACTCGAGGTACGAAATTTCAACAGAATTGGTCACGCATGTCTCGTGGCCACCGCATTGGCAGGCCATAGCGCTTGCCGATAGCTCCCCATGAAGTACACAAATCTGGTCCATGTTTTGTGCCTTGCACAATAGCCAAGGGCATTACTACCAAGGTGGTAAATCAGATTGGCCAAGGACAAATGCTATTTTCATTTGGCGAACAAAAGCAACTCATCAATTTATTTTGTCAATCTCACGTTAGTCTTTTAGACAACACTTTACCACTAATGTATTTTTACAGGCGCTACTGCTCACAACCATCCGATCTTAGTTCCATTCCCGCTAAGGCCGACATCAGTGGCAAGTGATATCTGACACTGGTCCCAACGTCACCAAATCCACACTGACCAGCGTGGTGAAGTATGGTTAAAAAAATATCCCCCCCCATGACCTGCACGGCATGGGGAGGGGGCCTCATTCAGCAGTGGGTTGACAAAAAGGGCTGTGCAGGTGTACATCGTTCTCCAAACGTTGGCTCCTGTACCCTTGGCTCGGCCTAAACACAAACCAATACATTATGATCAATCAGTCTATTTAAACTAGGGATACTTTCTTTTCAGGATGCCCTATCTTTATTTTACTTGAGCTCTACCGTTAAACTTGAAGGTTTAATAGAGTTTGTCTGCTCCCTTATTAACACTGTGCCACAATCTGAACCAAACCCTGCATCATAAACACACAAGCAACTTACACCAATTATATCATATTCTTTGGGTCTTTTGGTAAAGCCACGTAGATGGAAAATAATAAAAAAAATATATAAAATATCACGTTTCCATCACAACTCAAGCAATCGTCATCAGTTGAAAAAATAATTTGTTTTTCCTGCCTCAGTAGCTCTCCCGCTATTAAAAAAATGATAAATTATAAAAAAAATTCCTGCTTCAGTAGCTCTCCCGATATTTTTTCACCTGATGATGATTGCTTGTGTTGCGATCGAAACGTCGTGATATTTTTTAACTCTTTTTCTATCTAGGTGGCTTTACCAAAAGACCCAAAGAATATGAATTCTTGCAGCCACAAAAGCTTTAAGTCAAGACCAATTATATCCTTTATTTAACCAGACGAGAGCCATTGGCATTCATAAAACACAAACATTTAAGAAAGCAACTCAAAATCATATGCATTGCATTGACTTTAATCTAATAAAGTTACAAAATGGTGAAGTATTATGATATAAAATGTATCCTAAATTGCTAGCAAACATTATAAATGTTATTTTCTGCATCACCCTGTTTATACATTGGAAATCATTTGTTTGCGTTGCTGTATTTAATTAATCCCAGGTCTCCCTTGAGAAAGATCTTCAGGTCTCAATAGGCTCTTACCAAGTCGTAAATAAAGACCATCTATACACACACATGTATACCACCATTTAGTTTATGAGGAAGAGCTCACAACCCATAGCTACGTAGGGCCAGTTATGGTTTGTTCGCGACGCAGCAACATTTCAAATTGGGTAGGTACACCACGATGAGCCCTATTGGCACATAAGGGCCAATTCTTGATCATGGTCATCAAAACTAGAAGGTGCAATCACAAAATGATGTAATAGATCTCGATGAAGATGAACAATAGTTGCAATGTTATTGAAATTTACAGCTAAGATCTACTGCTACTGCAATAGTAACTATCTTTGAAGTCAAGTCTAAACTAAAACTATAAAACTTTTTTTTGTTACCAGGTGAAGCCCACTGAGCTATATCGCTCTTTTTCAGACGCAACCTGGCAACAAATGATAGCTCAACAAAGTGGCTTATCATCATGGAGAAATTTACAGCAACCAAATACTTCAAACGCATGTTGATTCTAAATGTGGAGGGAATAACCGGAGGACACGGAGAAAAAACCCACGCGACCACGGGGAGAGACACCGTAAACTCCAAATATACAGCAGGCGTCAGGGTGGGGATCAAACCCACAACCTCCTGTTAATCAGGCGAGGTAGTTAACATCTCGCCACCATGGCGCCCTGGTTGTAGCCTATGGATCTCGTCGACCGAATCTTCTTTCACAAATGCTTCTCTTAGTTTTTCAGACCACACCCGACAGGATCGGACGCGTGGGCGGTGTGCTCAGACATCAGCGGCACACGAAGGATGAAAAGGGGGCCACGGCCACAATGTTAACTACCTCGCCTGGTTTACAGCAGTGCATGGGTTCAATCCCGACCCTGACACCTGCTGTATATTTGGAGTTTGTGTGTTCTCCTCGTGGTCGCATGAATGTTTCTCTGGGTCCTCCGAATTTTCCCTCCAACATTTCAGAAACATGCGATGAAGAGTAATTGGCTGCTATAAATTTCCACATTATGATGTGCCACTTCGCTCAGCTATCATTTGTGACGTCCAGGTCACTTCTGAAAAAGAGCAATATAGCTGTGGGGCCTTACCCGGAAAAGTAAAAAGTTTAGGTTTTGGTTGTTAGTTTACAAAGGCTTCACATTGACGATAATTTTCCGCAACAAAGCCCCCAAAGTGTGAGGCACGCGCACGCCATCGCGAGATGTGGGCAGCGATTCCATAGTTTCAGTGACCCACGGGACGTAGAGTTTTCTCGGGTGTCTGGTTTCCACACTTCAGGAGCGCACGCATTCCTGCGCTTTTCCAATGCGCAACGCGGCTCTCGGACAATTAGTGGTGCCGTGTGCATCGCGCGCAAAACGACCGATGTTTTTTTGTCTCCATTTCGCTGTCGTCGCTGCGGTCACCGCGACACCACGGAGCTTCCTTGTAAAACAGGCGGGCAGTTGGCTAAACGAGATCATCCGAGTAGCCTATAAACTCAAACACGCTAGTTTGCCCGAGCGCATGCATTTCAGGGAGGGCAATTCGCTTTCATAGAGATCTATGAGATCTCTATGAAAGCGAGCAAGCACCTCTTTTGAAGAGCTGTTTTGAGAACTGGTTTTATTAACAATAGTGTATTTTTTACAGCGCCCTATACTCTTTGACAGCGCACTTTACATCATGGCACCGTCAGTGGTAGCTGTTCCTGTGGGCACAAGGTGACTCTCAGCAGCTGGTCTATAAAACAGGCATTGGTGCACCAGTAAGGGGGCGACGATGGCCAGGCAAAATCCCAATCGAGGTAGTTTGCGGATAATTTTAGAAAATTGGGAAATTTTGGACCCTGACGCCGGCACGCAATGGTCTACTCTTGTGCACAGACGGCGCGTTATATCTTGACGGTTAATACATGCAGCAATAAACTAGAACAAAAACATATTTAATTTTACCAGGTAAGGCCCCACTAAGCTACATAGCTCTTTTTCATAAGAGACCTGGCTGTCACAAACTATAGCTCAATGAAGTGGCTTATCGTCGCACGGAAATTTATAGCAGCCAAATACTCTAAATGCATGTTGATTCTAAATGTGGAGGGAAAAACCGGAGGAGCCGGAGAAAAATCCACGTGACCACGAGGAGAGAGCCATGCAAACTCCAAATAAACAGCAGTTGTCAGGGTCGGGATCGAAATAAAAGCTCCTGTATACCAGGCGAGGTAGTTAACATCTCCTAGCGACTGTGGTGCTCACCGGGGCGGTCTGTTGGGTTCGAACCGTGAAAATCGGCAACAAGCGACTAACGTGCCGCTACCGCTGGGCCGCGTCACCACTCCGTTTATTCGTATATGCGCATATAAAAGCAAATGCCAATTCGCTTGCATTAAATAATAGTTCCTGCCACAGGAATGTGGAATGTCCAACCAATGGTACAGGATGACCAACAGAAATCGTCACCGCCCAATGCTTACCGCTGGCTTATGCAGTGACCGAAACATGTCTTTAAAAGGCTTCTATGATAGTGAATGGTGGTGGATTTAATAGATCTCTATGAAGATGAACAATAGTCACTTAAATACAGTAAAACCTTGGATTGCGAGCATAATTCGTTCCGGAAACGTGTTTGTAATCCAAAGCACTCGTATATCAGTTGTGATCACGTGACACTCGGAAGACAAAGCGTATACGTACTACTCGTATTGCAAGACCTCGCTCGTTTATCAAATTACTATTAATTTAGAATTTTTGCTCGTCTTGCAAAACACTCGCAGACCAAGTGACTCGCAATCCAAGGTTTTACTGTAGATACCTATGCAGTTTAATGACAGTCCTTGATCAAAAGACAACAGTGAAAAGAAATAGTAGCCACTTTAATTGTGACCCAAGAAAGTGAAATCTCTACTAGTGGGAAGTACCCAGCGTTGCCCGGAGGAAAAAATACACAAGTACTAAGCTATAGTGAAAGCCCGGCGTGCCATTTGTCTGTCCATTTGTCTGTCAACAAAATTAGAAGAGGCTTGCAGAAGT